CTCAGGGTCCTGGGATCGAGCCCCACATCAGGCTCCCTGCTCGTTGGGGAGCCTGCTTCTCCCTCTTCCACTCCCCCTGCTTGTGTTCCCTCTCTCACTGTGTCTCTCTCTGTCAAATAAATAAAATCTTTAAAAAAAAAAAAAGTTCTATGCACTCAGCTTTTGCCACCAAAAGTTTTCCCCCAACACATGGTAGCACTTAAAGCTACTGTATCCAAAATTCTCTATTTAGGAATGGCTGTTTGGCTCAGTTGGTAGAGCAGGTAACTCTTGATCTCCAGGTTGTGAGTTAGAGCCCTTATGTTGGGTGTAGAGATTACTTAAAAATAAAATTATCTTTTTGTAGCTCAATTTATAGCTTATTTGTAGCTCAATAATACTTTACTCAACAATACTTTACTCAGTAGAATAGAGGTATTCTTTCAAAGTTAGTATGATGAAGTAAATTATATTTTCCCATAGAAAATATATTAGAAATACATAAATTTAAATGAATTGACCATGGCAGCTTCACAGCAAGCTAAGTGTTATATCATAAAACATGTTATGCCTCATAGGAGTTAATGCTTTCAGTGTTAGGATCTACTCATTATTTCTCCTCCACCATAACTTTAGTTCTCTCTACCCAAATCTAAGGAAATATCCTGCCTGGGACACTCAATCATCCTTTGATAAATATTTAAAAAACATTTATTGAGTACCTACTACAAGTTAAGGGGATTTGGATCAAAGATGGTCTTGCTCTCAAGAGCTTCATGGTCTTACAACAGGAAAAACTAAAATAAACACATAACTAGGTGGCAGGTATTCCGTGTTATGATCAAGGTATGTAGACAGGTCCATCAGAAGTCCTCAGAACAGGTTTGATCTAATATCTACTTTCTTAGGCTAGGGGAATGAGCATGGGGTCTTGAGTCTTCAGAAGTTACTTCACCTCGCTGAGTCTCCTCATCTTTAAAACACCTGCTATGAAAATCTAACATACATACTGTATTGAGCACTGTGCCTCACACCTAGGAGGTGTTCAACCAATTCTAGTTTTCCTCCTCTGACAAATATTTGTAAAGTTGCATTGAGCACTGCTGCAATCACCCATTACCAGCAGATACTTTCATGTGAACACTTCCAATAAACTTCCTTAAATTCAAGGCACAGGATTACATAAAATACTGTTTCTTATTTGGTCAGCTAAGCACTTCTGCAATCCTACAGATTGAGTTCACCTACAGTGAACCATGCCTCTTATTTTGGTGTCTAGTCAAGAAGCTCACCTCCTCTCCTCCCATCCGTGGGCTGCACCCAAATTTACCAGCTTAGGTCTACAGAACAGCTCCACACTCTCCAAAATTCCTAATCTACTGCCTTCCTTCATCTCTGTAATTAAGGGTTACTTTACTTTCTAGAACTCTATTTTTAACTCAAGATTTAGCCATAACAATACTAACTACAGCATTACTCATAATAGCAAAAGATTATTAATAATCCAGACACCCCCAAGATTGGAAGTTGTTAAGTAAAATATGTAGCATCCATATAAACAAATACTGGATAGCCATTTAAAATGTTTTGACATCCTTAATGCTAAAAAAGTTGTACATGTAGTATAAATACTACCCTATAAAACAAAATGCAAGGGAGATTGAAAAAACCAAAATGTTAGTGGCTTTTAGCCTTAAATGGTGTCTCCTTCGTTTCTTGCTCTTTCAAACAAGTCTTTCATCACCTGGATATTATAATGGATGGATGCCTGTATCTGGAACATGCCACTTTCTCTGCAACCAAGAGTCCACTTCTTACACCATCCCTAAGCAGATTCCCCAGCTTCCTGCTGCCACTCCAAGCTTTAGTGCATCCTCCACTCTCAACAACACCTCCTTTTGAGGTTCTTGTCCCCTCTTATCTTCAGCCTCCCTCAAGGTCGTAATTATTTAAAAGGTTGTCTTCTACCCACAGGACTTCAATGCCCTACAGTTAAAAGCCTCAGGGGTTGCCAACATCCCTGCTGGACGATCCAATACCCTGGTTTCCCACTATCCCTGACCACAGAAGCTCTCAGTCCCCTCCCAGACCTCCTGTCTCCCGTTCAAGTTTCTGCAAAAGCCACTTCAGCACCCAGTATGCCTTTGTTCTCATGGACAGAACCTCCTTCTGCTTTTCTAAGGCAGGCCAGCTCAGCTTAGTTTAAAAAAAAAAAAAAAGATAAAGACTGCTTCCCTGGAACAACCCTCTAGCTCTGACATTTTAGCTATGTGGCATTGGGCATTTTTCTCAACTTCTATGGATTTACTTCCTCATCCTTAAGATGTGTGGTTAACATTAAGATAAAATAACATTTGCTCACCTTTTATTCCCCTTAGGACTTGCTATCACTTTCCTCTCAGAACGTAATACTTCACAGCCACGCTTCAAAGCACTGAACTCTTACTCCATTCCCCTGGTATGCAAATAACCCAATTTTCCACCTGACCTTGAGCCCTGAGGTGCTCCCTCTCACTTCTTTTAAAAGCAAAATAAAACACAAATATGCCCCTCCTGCAGCATCCCCTACTGCCTTTCCCCCTCTTCATTATTAAACTACTGAAGGCTATTACAGTCTCAATTTCATTCCTCAAACCCTTAGTCGGTGAAGATAACGGTGGACATCCTCTCCACCTCGGGAACCCAGGCTGGAGAGACAAATGGAAAGACTATTCCTGGAGCATAAATGCTGTAAACTACTCTACACATTTAATTGTCGAAACTTGAGTTTTCTCTCTGGGACGCCTGGGTGGTTTCGTCGGTTAAGTGCCTGCCTTCGGCTCAGGTCATGAGGCGGGGCGGGGGGCTGGGGGGTGGTCCGCCGGGTTAGAGCCCCGCAATAGGCTCTCCCTTCAGCGGGGAGCCTGCTTCTCCCTCTCCCTCTGCCGCTCCCCCTGCTTGTGCTTTCTCTCAATCTTTGTCAAATAAACAAATAAAATATTTAAAAAAAAAAAGCTCAAACCTCGAGTTCTTTTTCCGAAGAGCCAAACACTGCCGCGGGGGCCTTGACCGGCTTCTGCACTAGTCTCTCGAGCAGCTCACGCACCTGCTCAGGAGCCCGGCTGCTGGACTTGTCCCTCGAGCAGCTCATGCACCCCCTCAGGGGCCCCGCGGCTGGGTGGCCTCCCTGGGGGCACGCGGCGCCTGCGGAGGGAGCAGCACGCGAGGCCCAAGAGGCACCGCCCATGGAGGGGAACCAGGAGGCTAGGGCGCCCCTGTTCCACCGGGAGGGTGAGCAGCAGGGTGCGTTTCCAGCGGCAAGACCTCCAGCCAGGTGGGTATCAAGCCGGAGATGACTGGCTGCGACCTGGGAGAGTTCTCCATTACCTGCAAGCCAGGGAAGCTCGACTGGCCTGGCATCGGGTCCACCCACTCCTTCCACTTCATCCCTCTGTAACTGACCTGTTCAGCCAATAAAGGCACAGACATCTCTTAAAACACAAGTTCTTTCGGGGCACCTGGGTGGCTCAGTCGTTAAGCGTCTGCCTTCGGCTCAGGTCATGATCCCAGGGTCCTGGGATCCAGCCCCGCATCAGGCTCTCTGCTCGGCGGGGAGCCTGCTTCTCCCTCTCCCACTCCCCCTGCTTGTGTTCCCTCTCTCGCTGTCTCTCTCTCTGTCAAAAAATAAATAAAATCTTTAAAAAAAAAAAAAAAAACACAAGTTCTTTCAACTGTAAGTACGGTGTGTGGAGCTTTGCAGTGGGGCGTGTGGGAGAAAGTTCGGGGCCTCCAGGCAGGGCTGAGACTGATAAACTGATGGGTTTCTTTTTTGTAAGACGGGAGCCATTACCAAACCCACGGGCCCATCGAGTGTTCTAAAACACCTGACACTGAGAAAATGCCTTTTTCTCTCTTCATTCCTACTCAGAACTTTATTTTTAGACTGTCAGTCCTGTAAGGGTGTCTCAGAATCAGCTGTTGCTAGTCACTATTTTTGAATGAAAAACCACTTCAGTTCCACTTCATATTGAAACATGGTGAACACCAAAAATGTTCCCAACAGCCACCAATTTTACAAACTCCCCAAAATTTAACCTTCCCAATTACCTCCCTAAAAAAGGGTCAGATTAGAATTTGCGTTAAGATTCCCAAGTTTAGAAGAAATACCCGATTCTTTTGCATCTATCTAGAATACCAGTTGTGTTTCATCTTTTCCCCGAATGAGTATGTGAATACGATTTCTGAGATAAGTCTAGAGCCTGTCAGCAAACCTAGTTAAATGCCAGACGGTAAACATTTCAGGCTTTGCGGACCATAGTGCCACTTGCTTTTTTTTTTTTAACAACCTTCTCAAAACGTAATACTTAGTGCAAGTGCCATATGAATATCCGCTACAGTAGGATCTGACTCAAAGGCTGTAGTTTGCCAACTCTGGTCTAAACTGGGTTATGAGAGGGGCGCCTGGGTGGCTCAGTCGGTTAAGCGTCTGCCTTCCGCTTGGGTCGTGCTCCCAGGGTCCTGGGATCGAGCCCCACATTGGGCTCCCTGCTGAGCTAAGAGCCTGCTTCTCCCTCTGCCTGCCGCTCTGCCTACTTGTGCTATCTCTGTTAAATAAATAAACATCTTTAAAAAAAAATAATAATAAATAAATTGGGTTATGAGTGCTTTTAGACCATGCCTTGTCTTTTGCTTCTCTCACTCCTAGAACAGGCCTCAAGGTACAGCATGCCTTAAATATTCAGATGGTTGATAAAATCAAGCCAGGTATTGTTAGTTCTTGGGTTAGCAAATGTTGAAGGAAAACAATATTGTAAAACTTCATGAGCTTGTGTTATTTTCTGTCTTGGGATGTAGCTGTCTCAGCTGATTTTCTGAGCACAGCTACTGGTTGCTTATATCACCAAGCTAGGTCCTATTCAAAAGAGCTGGCCCTTGACCTTCAGAAACTTAAAAGGTAGAAATGGTCTTTTGTTTAAATATGAGGAAAAAATTAGAATTCAGTCCAGTAAGGATGAGTATTAAAGAAAAAAAACCAGACAAGCTAGAATAAAACGTTTTATTATTAAAATAAAAAACTTTGTATAAAAGCATTACAGATCAAAAGCTCTATTTACACTTACTGATTCAATATCCAATTAGGCATCAAACACTGAACAGGCACAGCAAAAGGCTGCACATGCAAAGAAAATGGACACACAAACACTTAAGATTCCACTTCTACAAAACGATTTGATTAATACAAAAGGAGAGGGGGGGTAGGGCACGACACATGAAATCTGCCCAGAAACTAAAAAGGTAGAGATGGCAAGTTAACAAACTGTTGAAAGTCACCCAATTCTAAAAAGGCACTTCTCATTGTTATAAAAGTGCTTAAAAGCTGAACATGAACCCTGTGCCTAGTTTATAACTTCAAGAAAGCAAACACCGCAAAGACTAGTAGTAGACGAGTATTACTATTAATTTTCCATGCAAAATGATCAGGAATTTGAAACACCTTACATACAAACCAAAATAAACTTGGCTAACTACAATTATGCTGACGTGTTACAGCATAAATTCAAGTCAGCCTATTCCTGAAACCTCACTATCCTAACTCCCTGGGATGTCTTTTCTACATGACTTTGAATACAGCACTGCCCTTGGACCTTTGGGCAGTGACTGTGAGAGGCAGATGCATCACTTGACCTTGTAGTGGAAGAAAGCAGAAGCAACTGAGTCTCAACCAGGGCAACTTGTAAAATAAGCATAATACATGGAATATTCTCATGAGAGGCATCCAAAGTAATATACTCCACTTTCCAACAATTACCGAATTTTTTCACATGGTTTTAAGACTTGTGTGCCTTGATTCTGTTAAAAAACATCAACTAGTATGAACGCTAAAGCTAAAATTACACAGCTTTCTCGTAAACAAGTTAGAGGGCTGTTCTCTGGAATTCAATAGATGTAGTTAGTTAACATTACTACTGTGTTTCTAAGTGCTTGGTTTTATGGGTGGATTCCAGGGCTATTTCAACGCCAATTAAATCAAACATGCTTTCCTAAACTTGCCATTTAAAAAGAATCAGAAACAAAATGGTGGGAGAGAACCAATGGAAATAGAGGGGGGATGGTGGGGGGGAAGCAAAGAAGAAACTGCAGGAGGGCAAAGTATAGCTAGCGATATACCTCTGTGATGGTCAGAGACACGTGTGTCTACTGAGATTAACTTGATTTGCGTTTCCTATAAAACTGGCTTATCATCAAAATTCTTAACTCGGGTTTCAATCATGTGAAAAAACCGAAAACTTTAGTAGGAAGATTTGCGCATTGAAGACGGGGAGTGGATCTTCCAAATGCTATGCTTGCATTTCGAATTCCTGTTTCAGACTGAAAGAGAGAAGGGAACAGGTCAGGATATGGTTTTCAACCTAAGAATGTTCTTTGGAAAGCCTAATTCAGTTTTCAAAATGTTTTCATTGAGTTATAGTATATATAGTTAAGTGCATACATCTAAACATACAACTGGAATTTTTATGCACTCACACACATGTCCCCACCACCCAGATGAAGACAGAACGCATTTCCAAGATTGGAAAAGACTCCCAGTGTGTCCCTTTGCAGTCAAAACCTGCAGTCCTCACCCCCCGGAGACAAACACTATTTTCACTTCTATTATCTTTTTATTTTTTTATTTTTTATTTTTATTTTTTAAAGATTTTATTTATTTATTTGACAGAGAAAGACACAGCGAGAGAGGGAACACAAACGGGGAGTGGGAGAGGGAGAAGCAGACTCCCTGACGAGCAGGGAGCCCGATGCGGGACTCGATCCCGGGACTCCAGGATCATGACCTGAGCCGAAGGCAGTCGCTTAACCAACTGAGCCACCCAGGCGCCCCACTATTATCTTTTTATTAAGACACAAACATGAATGTAAGATTTGGGTGTGGAAGAGAGAAAAACCAGCCATTTACCTTTTCAAGTAAGCATGCACATTCCCAAAGCCATGGTATTTGGCTAAATACACAAGGACCCCAGTCGCACACCGCCCATCTCGCTGCCGGCAGAAACTACAGTTGCAGATCCTGCGGCAAGGCGGGCAATGCCAATTCTGAAGGAGAATTGTGAAAAGGCACAGTTAAATCAAATCTTACTTTCCTCCCCTTACTTATCTATTCTTATTTAACCTCTAAGGTAGGTACATCAATTGCATTTACATCTTTTTTTTTTTTTTTAAGTAACAGCAAAAGCTTAATATGATTAATTTCCATTAGTCCTGATGTTTTCTTAGGAAATGCAGCAGAGGTTACACAGCAACTAGCAAGGGTAGAGTCAACTTCCCCTGTAAGGTCTGGTCCCAACCAAGCACTCTGGAGGGGGACTCATACTGGTCTATGAAGTCATCAGCCTCCCCTGAAATGTGCACCCCACAACTCTTAAGGCTCGATCCTTTCACTGTTACCCTTTCTGGCCCTTTCAACTCATGGCTAACATTTAAGTCCACAGGACCACCCTTCAAGGCACCTACTGGATCCAGCAGAGCATCCTTGACCTCTTCACCGTAACGGTTTCGAAGGCAGGGACCACAGAACTGGCCTCGAACACCCCAGCACTCTGGGTTTCTGCAGTTTGTTTTGGTATCAATAGTTTTCTGGCGGCATTGATGGCAAGTAGATCCCTACAAAGAGGCAAATAAGACGGAAAAAAGAACAAAACACTGCTTTTTGTATAGAAAAACAGCATAAAGAACGTCTTTCTTTGTAGATGGTGTCCGACAATTCGTCTTTCAATCCTATGTTAAATCTACACACACATGTATATGCCAAGGGCATGAAAAATAAATCAAGCATGGTGATTTCATCAATTGGCAGATGCAATAGTTAATATTATCAAAACTAGTTTTCTGCAAGAAAGCATCTTACGCAAAAAAAAGTACCCCAATCTTTCTTTTTAGCACACCACTCTACCCCAGCACCTGTGTACCCCAGACGTACACACAGTAAACATATGTTGAATCGACTTCTAAATTTAAAGAAAAATCAAATGCTACCAAAGGCTTACTAGGCAAATACCATTACTGCAGACTCACTAAGAGATGTGTATCCCAAGGATGCTAAAAAACTTTCCTTATATGAAAAAAACACCCAGGCACATATCAAATATGCTAAGACCTTTAACATTAGCAAAACTCTAAGGATAGAAGCTATCCTTTCTCTCACAGATGTTCATGTTCACAGATATGACTGAGAGAGGTTCGTACCAATGAGCGGTTATAGATCTTCTCTCGAGAGTTGTTGCAGATGTTCTCCAGCTCTTCCTCTGTAATTTCTTCCACAGGGCGAATTATATGTGGAAGGGTCATGGATCCGGCACGACGACTTCTGGGCATGTCATCTTCCTGCATGACAAAATTCATGGAATGGTGTTTCTACTGGCTCTCCCCAGCTCTGAATCCCAGATACATGATTTGTAATTTCTTCACCAAGAATTCAACCTAGAAATCTTTCTTATAGCTTATGGAGAAGGGGCAAGTTAAGTTTACTAAAGATAATGGGACAACGTCATGGAAATGATTCCTACATTAAGAAGCTGAAGAAAGCTTTGGCAACTTAAAAATAAAATCTTGAAATAAAAGGTAGGGGGGGGCACTCTGGCTGGCTCAGTTGGTAGAGCACGCAACTCTTGATGTTGGTGTTATAAGTTTGAGTCCCATGTTGGATGTAGAGATTACTTAAAAATAAAATCTTAAAAAAAAAAAGGCAAGTAAGCAACAAGCTTTGACCTTCTCACCTGCTAACAAAACACATCAAATAAGTTTATACGACATTAACAATTCTGAATGATTTGAGAAGGTTTACTACGGGTCATCTTATGTTGAGGCCACATGGGTCCCTGTGTTGTGTATTGGATACTGGGCTTACAGAAGATGACAAACAGAAGAGCAAACACAAATGTGGAGAGCTCACATTCACGTAGTTGTCCATGGTCTTCCTCTTTCTCACCAGCATGTACTTATCCTCCTCCTCTTCCTCCTCTTCCTCTGTGGGTAGAGCACTAAGGGACCCAAGGATCCGGGACCTTGACCTGGTAAGAGGACGAGCTCTTCGTTCAGGGTTTCTCCTGGAAGCTACACCTGGGAATGTACGCCTTCGGGGTGTCTTTGACTGCTAAACAAAACACACATGATGGAACCCATTTATTCAAGAATGAAGAGAAGTGGCACCTTCTCCTTAAGTACGTTTTTGTTTAAGTAAAACGGGAGCTCCATTTCCTAATCCTTTGTCCTTTCCATAATGCATGGGAAGTGAGCCCCAAAATGATACAGCTGTTGTAATTGTGCTCTTCTAACAACAAGCCATTTCTCTCAGACTGAGAGATGATCCTTTTATTCTTCCACTTAAGAACAGATCTCGTTTTCCCAAAAAAAACCCTTTCTACAATATCTCTTGAGCCCTGAAACATATCCACTATTTCTACATGGCACAAGAGAGAAATGTATGTATGGTTTTCCTTCTTCTGTTTCTTGCTTGCCTCTTCCCTTTCTCCTCAGGGAGCAGACACACCAAATGCCCCTTAGTTGCACCAGCTTATTCCTCAGAAGATAATCACATATATTAGGCCGTGACTTGGTTAGGAAATTGTTTTTTCCCTTTTTTTCTCCCATTCTCAGTTATTAAAAACCTCTATTATTAGGAAATGCAGCAGAGGAAGGAAGGAATATCCTAATGCTGGGGATACAGAAAAAAAAAAAAAAAATTCAATCTTTACTCCCTACCCTTGAGAGGCTTAATTTAGTTGGGAAGGAGAGAACTAGCCAATCAAAAGGGGTTTAAGCGCTGCAGAAGCATGGTTTGGAGAGGCCACACCTGTCCTAGCATGCACAGAAGAGGTCCCAGAGACCTGTTAGGTTTACTTCTCTGTCTGTAGGACTACACAAAATAAGGAAATTGGATTTTAAAATAACAAATTTAGGGGCACCTGGGTGGTTCAATCGGTGAAGCGTCTGCCTTCGGCTCTGGTCCTGAACCCGGGGTCCTGAGACGGAGCCCGGCATTGGGATCCCTGCTCAGTGAGAGTCTGCTTCTCCCTCTCCCTCTGCCCCTCCCCCTGCTCATTCTCTAATAAATAAAATCTTAAAAATAAATCTATCTTAGACCTGTCCAAAATACTACAATATAAAGAAGGATTTGCACTTACTGTACTGGGGCCTGGTAGGGAACGCCTTCCAGGGAATGAGCCAGGGAAGCTTTCTAATTCTGACATTAGTTTTGCAAGCTAAAAAGGGAGGATATTCAACAGAAATTATTAGTTTAGAATAACTGCTGAAAAAAAGCAACTTCTGGAAATTAGTAGCACATCTCGAGTTTCTGATTTCACTTATACATTTCCAAGACTTTAATAGATTAAAAAAGAGAAGTTAATTTAGGAAAAGCAGCACATTTAAAGCACACATTGTGAAGACTTCACAGTTACACTGAAAATAATTCTTAGGACACAGGTGTAAGCAATGAGCAGCTTACAGAAAGGACGGGAAGGGTTATTAGTGTTAGCACAAAGTCAGATACCTACCATTGCTTTGTTTTGCTTTATATTTAAAGCTCTTTTCTCCAAAAAATTCATTCCATTTTCATCTTCTGAATCAGAACTGGAATCGGTCACAGTATTCTCAGGGGGCTGGGGGGGCACTGCTCTTTTGCTGGCGGCTCCCCTGGCTTTTTGGGTTGGAAACTTCATGGCCACCCGGAGGGGTCCGGACCGTCGGCACTGGCTGCGAGTCCTGTAGCCAGTGTGGTCTGACTGCAGTCTCTAGTTAATCAGGAACAATGGAGTCGTTAATGACTTGTTGATTGTCCGACAGGCTGCACCAATATGACTACAAAATCCCTTCTGAACAAAAGACACTGACATCAAATAAATTTTAATTGGACACCTTAATTGTCAATTTTAACTGACAGCTCTGGGCAATAAAATCAGGAATTACAAATAAATACAATAATCAGGGTAGTTGAACTCCTGTAGCCTGAGACAGGTCTTTATAAGCCATCTTCATAGCCCTTAGGCCAGTGGTTCTTAATCTTTTTTTTTAATGTGAAAATCCCAGCTCCCTTTTTAATTCAAAAACAGATCTTTTGTTTTTTAAAAGAATTCCTATAAAAACAAATATGTGTTCTCCCACAACCATGGTTTCAATGTTTGGCATTAAACTATATTACAGGTGCCTGAGTGCTCTAATCTACTTTTTAAAAAATTTGCGGCAAATAGGCATAACATGAAATTCACCATTTTAACCCTTTTTAAGTGTACAGTTCAGTGGCATAAAGGACATTCACACTGTTGTACAGCCATCACCACCATCTGTCTCCAGAACTTTTTCATCTTCCCAAACTGAAACTCTGCACCCATTCAACACTAACTCCCCACTCCCCTCTGGCCTCTGGAAACTACCATTCTACTTTCTGTCTCTATGAATTTGACTATTTGAGGTACCTCTCTAATCTACTTACTGTAAACTTAAAATTTAAAAAATTTTTTGAGATTCCAAAATTAAAGTGGGGTTCCATCATTAAAAATATATTAAAATTAGCCACCAGGGAAAAGCAAATCGGAATCACAAGATACCGCTTCATTACCCACTAGTGGAGCTGAATCAATAGCAAGTATGGCAAGGATGTAGAGAACCTGGAACCGCATACACTTTTGGTAGGAATGTACAAAGGCGCAGCCGAAGACAGCCTGTCAGTTCGTTACAAGGCCAGAGTTACCATAGGACTTGTTCGTATATATACTCCGATAGTATTATGTCCACACAAAACTTGTAAGTGAATGTTCACAGTAGTGCTATTCACAATAGTCAAAAGTGCAAACAACCCCAAACCCATCAACTGATGAAGAGGATAAATAAAATGTTGTACATTCACAAAATATTATTCATCAGTAAAAAGATATTAAGTACTAGCACATGCCACAACATCGAAGAAGCTTGAAAATCTTCCATGAAGTGAAAGAAGCCATTCACGAAAGACCTCATAGCGTACGGTTTCATTCATACGAAGTGTCCAGAGTAGGAAATCTATAATGGTAGCAGACAAATTGGTGGTTGCCCATTGACGATTGGGGGTACTGGGAAAGGATGAGAAGTGACTGTTAATGGGGACAAGGTTTTTTTGGGGAGCTGATGAAAATATTCTAAATTGATTGTAGTGATGGCTGAAAAAAAGTGATTGAGAAAAGAAAATATATAACCCATAAAGTCCCAGAAAGGGAACAGCCACTTTTTTTTTTAACATCCAAACACTTCTTAAATCTGCGCAGCTTCTAGTATTCTTCATGTACTTTTAGTGTGCCCAACGACGAGAAAATGACAAACTTTTATGGGTTCTTAAGACTTTTAATCGATTGGCATCTTATTAATTAAAACAAACCAGCATCTACAAAGAGTGTATTCACTGCCCCGAAATGACTCAGGCTAGACAATGTTTAGGTCACATGCAGACTTACAGACCAGCCTCTGCAAGAACTCCAATCTGCATTGATTTGGACCACCATCACTTCTTAGAGGCAATGTTACATTACCACCAAGTCAGACCGCGATAAACACTCCTCGGCCAGATGTTCTCACTTATGTCACTATCCTTGTGGTCGCAGGGAGTGGCTCCCCATCAGACCCCAATGAGCTGAAGAGCATGCACCTGACTGTAAACCAACACACTGCTTCCTTTGTTGAAGACAGTCCTGCTAACCAGGGTCTGCAGAACTAAGCAATATGCTCAGGGAGAGCGGGACCGAGGTACAGCAGCAGTGGCCTGAGCAGAAGGACCGAGGTTAAAGGTAAAGCAGCGTGCACAAGAAAAGCCAGCCAAGGAGCACAAGTGAAAGCAGGAAGGGCCCTAATTGTCATTATGTGCACTCGAACCCACATTTACCAAAGGCCTGCTCCAGGCCGGGGCCAGTACTGGGCTGGGCACTTGAACTTACATACGAATACAGCTAATCTTGAGGACATGTGGGCTTCTGATCATCAGGCTAGATTTCTGTGGCAACAGAAATCTGGAGGTTGGCCAATTTTATCTTACCGGTCTCCAAGACTTTCAGAGCCTACAAAATGTTCAAAGCTTTACAAGTAGGGCTACATTAGTAAAAACTGTTGTAAGACATGAAGAAAATGTTAAAATTTTAAAAAGGTCAACAAAATCTTCTGGCATGACTAAAATGAAAATTACAAGAAAAAAAACTTTAAATTACGAGAAAAAAAAAACACTTCAAACAAGTGTGTCATGCCTGTAAATGTACTGTACTTCTTGACATGGGTTCTCAAACTCACCATTCCATCTTGTATCTCACTCTCTGAGAAACCGCAAAATGATTCATCGTCAGAGTCGGCATGAAAAATACTGGCCAGTTCTTTAGTGACATCTGGCCTTGATTTCTGTAAAAATCCACAATGGTCTAACACATCTTGCACCTCACTTTCTGAAAAGCCGCAGAAAGATTCATTATCAGAGTCCTCATAAAAAACATTTGCCAGTTCTTCACTGATATCTGACCTGAATTTAGGTTTCTGTAAAATAAATAAATAAATGTGGTTGTGCATTTTTTTCCTTTTTCAAGAACCAATTTTCCATAAACCGTGCAGAGAGCAAATCACATTTACAAGTGCACTACAAGAGAACAGCTTTTGTTACAAAGAAAAATGGTTCAGAGGTTTACAAATGATTTCTGAGTTGTTATGGCAAATCATCAGGCATGTTAGGTTAGGCGACATTTCAAAAAGATAGAATAAGTAGCTAATCTACCTCCAACAATTACTACCTAGAACCACAGCAAAAAGTGAAATGAAATTACAATGCATACTGTATTTTCCAGCGGCTGTATAGAAATGCAGGCAAAAAGCAAGCAGCTTTAATCACGCACAAAGCATGTGGGGCACTGTGGGCACTGCAGACTCAATTCTGTTTATTCTCAGGCAGCACTTACCGTGTTTGCAAAATTATCAGAAGCAAAGCTGTCACAACTGTCATCAGAGGATGACGACGTTTCCATGGAAATCAACTTCACATATCTAAATTTCTTTACGTTCTTCTTTACTCCGTGACCCTTTTGCTGTAAATGAAAATGGCAATACTATTAAGTGGGATGCTTACACTAACTGAAGACATCATTTTTGAGTTTAGTAGTTCAGCACAGAGTAGATATATCCATTTCTTATACCCTACATAGTAGAAGGAGGATTTGCAAATGCTACAACAATATTTTCAAAACCTGGTAAAATCTTAAAAGGGGATCCCTTTGAAGGAATATTGTTAAGGACATTTATCGGTTCAATCAAACATCTACAGAACTACCTCACTGAACACCTCTTTCCCCCAAGCTAAGCGTGTCATATGGAGTTCCCAAGGGGCTTAATGCTGACTTCCTAAAACCTGCCTGTTAAAAACATTAGATTGCACTTCCAAAAGGAAATTTCAAAAGTACAAAATGGTAGAGTGATTTCTCTCCCTCAGCCAAAAGCTAATGAGGTCTTTTTATATAAGCTTTGGCCTATGTACTGTGATGCTAATTTCCCAAACTACAAGAACTGGGCAGCACCTCTACTTCAAGATGGCAGACTTTCAAGCTGGCCCTGCTCTAACCAGGAGGGGTATAGTGATTTCAGCACAAGCCCTTACAAATCAAGTACATCAACCGAGTGAACAAACATACAAGGAGGCAAGTTAAAGGTCAAACAGCACTCCAAACCCAGGTAGAATGCATGATTCCACCTCAGCATTCTATCAGCCTGGCCTGACATTCAGCTCTTTCCAAAGTCCCCTTCCTATACAATTCTTTTTAGAATTCCTTCTGTAAGTCACAAATTACTTGTAGGTTACTTGTTCATAAACACTGAAAAGCCTGGCTTTGCTCATCAGAAAATGCAATTAGCATCTATCTAAATATAGAGACAGCAGTTTCTGGCATTTCTTAACATTTAATGAGACTTAAGTGTTTTTAGTTCCTATGTTTTAATTTTCTTAAATATGGCCACACAATAGAAATGACTCCTCCCACTGAAAACTTTAAAAGGCAAGCTCTGTTATGGGTCCCACAAAAAAAAGCCAAGATCTGAGGTGTCAGGTGGAAAGAACATTCTTGACCTTCCTTGTACATCTAACATTAGGCACTTCATTTCAATTTCTTGCAAATAAAATTATCATGTCTTTTGTCCTTTCAGAAAGGCAGAAAAATGTGATAATAGGTAGTGCTACTACCTATTAGAAGGGGTCTCAAACACCCCATTTTCCAAGCGAGGAAATTCAAGGCTCCAGGGAGGTGAAATAGAGTGCCCAAGAGGACACAGCTGGAAGGAGAACCCAATTCTGTAATCTCCTACGACAGCAGTGCTCCTTGCACTAGTACAGCAATTTACTCATCAATCTACCTGCAAGCAGTCAGAGGCCCAAGACAGCCTCAAGGGAGGCAGTCTACTGGAAGCTGACAGGGAAACATACGCTGGGCTTTAACACGTCAGCACATGCCAAGAGTTAGTTAGCAGGCAAATGCATGTTTGGAGGAAAAGACGTAGAAAAAGGCAAATGGTTACGGTTGAGATGAACTCTTCTGGCAGGAAGGTAATAACTAATACCACTTAGTAGGTGTTTTTTTCGTGCCAGGCCCTAAGCATGTTTTTCACATTACGTTTAATTCCTTGCAACAAAGGTGCTATCATTATTCCCACCTAACAAATGGGGAAGCCGAGGCGTGAGGGGTTAAGTGGATTATTCGTCACAGGATGGCCCAAATTCGAACCCAGGCACGTCAAATCCCAAGTCCTGTTACACATGGCTTTCTCCAATCTAAAAGCTAATGCCGGGTTACACCCAAGAGTAGTGTCTGAAACCACGCCCCCAACACGCCCTCTCCCACCCCCCACCCCCACTAGAACCACAGCTTCCCCACGTGTCGCTCTTTATTTATTTTAAGCATGTCACACTCTTCCTTTCCACCCAACCCCCATCTTCTAACATCTCCTGGGGCAGACCCTACGTTCCGGTTTCCGTTAGAGCAAAAAGTAACGTTCCATTCAGGGAAACGTCCTGCAGCTGCGAGTAAGGTTGGTGGGTGGAGGAGTGGGAAACGAGCAAATGGTTGTTGAACAGCACCTTCAGGTGCTCTTAATCGCCGCCTGGAACTAGAGATGCCTCCCCCCATGTGCGCACCCAAGTCCTAAAGAGACCATTTTGCAAGACCTTTAAACTTCAAACCCACAGGTACTCAGCGGTTAGAAAGCGGATCCTGGTGTGGCAGGCGCAAAATCCGGCGGGGAGCGGGTCCAAAGGGGCCCCCAGTGCGCGCCGGTCTTGCCGCAGCGAGCCACCCACCCGCCCGCAGCTGCACGCTGGAAAAGGCTGCACCGCTGCAGGGCAAACCCCCAGGTGCAGGGAGGGAGGCGTTCCCCTCCACTCGGGCTCTGGCCGGCAGGCACAATGGGGGACCCGCTAGCTCTGGCCGCTGTCCGGCCCCGAGCGCACGTGCACTTCAGGCGCACGTGGCTTCGGGCTCCCCAGCGCTGCCAACCAACCTGAAAACTGCTCAAATCTCCGACCGCCAGCGCGCCGGGTGCGCACGCCCAGCGGGGTCGGCCCCGGGCTCGGAATTACACGAAATGCATGAAATCTGGGGCTTGCCTAAATGGGCGCCGCCCAGGACCGCCACCAGTTGATAAGCAGTACTCGGACCGCGGAGGTAGAGGGAGTCGGTCCGCGCCCAGCACCCACCGCGCCCGCCCCTCGGGTTCATCAGCCTAGCGCTCACCGGCACGCGGCGAGCGTCCATGCTGGCGGCGGGCGCCCAGGCCGGCGCTCTGGGACGGGAGAACGAAGCACCGCGCGCCGCGGTCCCGCAGAGCCAAAGGAGCTGGAGCTGCGGCGGGCGGGGCACTCAGACCCGGGACCCGAGGGGCGGGGCCCCGGCCGGCTTTCCCGCGTTGGGGCTCAGGTCCTGCAAGCTGTGGTAACTGCCTACCCAGGCGCGAGACCCTCTCGGCACTGGGGAAAAAAGCGGCCCCCCAGATATTATGACCCCAAGCCCCAGCCTTGGAATGCCCTGAAGTCCGCCGTGGAAAAGCGGCGCTTTTAGGGCTCTAGACAACTCTCTTTATGTTGCTGCACGGTCCTGAGCGAATGGCGCGAAAGAGGTTCGTATTGCCCCGGGGTTAGCAGGCTGATTTGCATGAATTCCCGGGCTGGGAGAGGGAAAGTCGAGGTGCGGGGTAATGGAGAGCAGAGCGAGAGTCTTGCGGGTTTTGGCTCTTATCACTTGCATTGCGGCGTGCGGTTTACGTTATTAAGCGCAAAAATCAAAGAATTAAGCATGAATTCCCCCCCTTATTAGTCCAGTCACTGTCTCTGAGTGTGGCACCTCTTATCTGGCAACCACATCATTATCTGCAGCAGTAAAATGAGTTAAATCTTGATGTTTTTTTCCAGAAAGCACGGGAAGCCGTTGTTGTTTTACATAAGACTAGTGGTTTTTTAAATTAGGACAAAAAGGCGCTGCCATTAGTTAACATCGGCGGGATCATACAGGCTTTAAAATTTATCTGTTGAGGGTAGAAGCTGAAGACCATTAATGTGGTTTGACTATCTTTTCTTTCGTCAGAATTTATAATACCGAGATTGGAATGACCGTGAGGTATTTTCTGATTGCCCTTTTAATCAAACCTGACATTCCGACGCAATAAAGTGTGAGGTTTTAAAATTTCTTCTGTAGAGAGCAGGAAAAAAAGCTTTTAGAAGAAAAAGTAAGATGATTTGGGTTGCTTTAAAAGACACTAATTATAATCTTACATTTAAGACAAGTGCTTGAAATGAAACCATTCGAATTTTTTCCTTAAAAACTTTTCGGGAATAATTCCTTTGCAGTTAAGAGAGCATGCGTGAACACACCGCGTTCTTCTCTGGATGTATTGAATACAAAAACTTGTAAGCAAGTAATACGAAAAGAACAATGGATTGGAAGAATTGGGAGGGTCTTGGTCAGAGTCTTCGAGCCTCTCTAAAACACGCCTGCCCATGGTCACTGTCACAGTGCAAGGGACAAAGAACTCACGGTCTCGAAGGTAGGCGCCAAGAGAGGCGGTTGCTTTGGCGAAATTCTTGGCAGTGGTGGTGATGGGGGAGGGGGGGCCGTGAGTGACTCAATAAGTATTTGTTGAGTAAATAACTATATAAATGGTGAACTAAAATTGTCGTTGGTGCTGTGTCCTTGGGAATACAGTTTTTTGCCACTGAAATATGTGAGAATTTGGAATTGTGAAATGCATAAAGTAAGGGAAGATTAAGTCCTTTGACTCTGAAAAGTTCTGATAGGAAAATTCTTAATTCTCTTGGGGCACTAGAAAATAATTTACATATTAAGATTAAGATGTCTGGTCTATCAGTCTTTTCAGTAAACCGAAAGATGCAAATTAAAACAGATACAGTTTTACTCAGTGGCAAAAATTTTAAAAACCTGATTAAGACCAGGTGCTGGTAAGGACATGAGGAAATTCCTGCAATGTTAGGAGTGTAATTTTTTTTTTTACTTCACAGGGCAGTTCAGATATTTAGCAAAACCACTTCCAGGTATATACTCAAAAACAAAGTTTTTCACACTGCTGGTTAGAACCCATTGGTGAATTGTGAAATCAACTTAGTGGGTTACAACTAGCACGCTTTCTTCTTTCTTTTTGAAATTGGGTAAAAAATATGAGTAGTAAGTGTGAGTATTGTTTTCTCGAACTGTGTGTCACTTTTGTGTGTGTGTTTTGTATAAAGGCGTATTTCATATTGCGCTTTGCCATGGACAGAATTTTCAAGATAGCATCCTGGAGAATGTGCATGATGAGTCTTGTACTGATGTTCTCTCATTCATTCAAGTTAAGTATAGACCATGCCTATTACAGCAGGCACTATTCTGAGAACTGGAGACACATAGGCCAGGGAGTGTACATCCTAGTAGAGGAGTAGAAATAAACATGATAATTTCAGGTGTGATAACTTCTGGGAAAAAAAAAAAAACAGGATAAGAAGATAGGAAATGAAAGAGGTATTAATTCAAATAAGAAAAACAGGAAAGGCTTCTCTGAGGTGTTATCTGATCAGGAGCCTGAGTAAAGCAAGGGAAGAAATCATGGGAGATAAGGGAAGTGCTGGTTAAGCAGAATGAACAGCTGGTTCAAAGGCTCTGTAAGGCACCTAACAGAAGAAGCCAAGTATGCTGTGACTATAGAGCTAGGGTAAGAAAGGGAGAGCGGCCAGATCATGTGGGGTCTTCCTGACCATGGGAAGAGCTTTGGATTTTATCCCAGGTGTGATGGGAAGGATTTTGATGGAGAGACCCAATCTGACCCCATGGACTGTATGAACTGTAGGTTGAAGGGGAGCAGGATTGAAAGCTCAAGGCACTTAGGAGCCCCTGGAGGAGAAAATGATGGCTTGGACTAGGGTAGTTTTAGGGTGGGGAGAACTCAGCTATATTATTTTGAAGATAGAGCTAATGGGACTGGAGGGATGGATGGTTCATTCATATTAGCATTGTGTATCATAGTAAAATATGGCAAATAAACAAACTAAATGCCCCTCAGAAGGGAAATGGATGCACAGACAGTGGTATATTCATAGAATGGAATTTGAACAGTAATTCAAATGAATGGTATGGCTTACTTGCATCAATGTAGATAAATCTTAATATTGAACGAAAAAGCAAATTGCAAACATTTCTGCAAACTGTACCCCTTAGGCAAATTTTAGAAACCTAAAACAAAACCAAACAAAAGCAACCTAAAACCTACTTAAGTTGTGAAAGTATAAAAAACCTACACAAACAAAACAGGATACAGTAAACTCTGAGGAGGGAAAGATGGAAAGGAAAGAGAGGAGGTGAGGCCTTCCACTCTATCATTAATGCTTTTTTGTTGTTGTTGTTACTTTCTTTAAAAATAGTGTGAAGCAAATATGGCAAAGTGTTAAATGTGAGTGGTGGGCACGTGAATGTCTTTTATATTTTTACTTTCCATGGGGTTTTCTTTTTTCTTTTGGATCTGAAACATTTTATAATTTTTAAGTTTGAAACACTTGACCTGTCTGTTGATCAAGATCTATGTTTGTAGCGTTAAATATGCAGTCCCTTTACAGGGCCCTATAAATGGGAATGTAAGTTCATCTTGCAATTTTAGGTACCTCATAAAGGTCTTAAGTCACTATGTTAATCATATACTGGTAAATATGTTCATTTTAAATGAAAGACACAAAAAGCATAAGAATGGAAATTCAGTGTGCAGAGAATGATGAGGGCCCAGGCCTCAGCAACAGGTAACAGGGAATGACATTTCATAGGCACATACCTGCTATCTACAGACAGTATCTGGTATGAGAGCTGTAAATACAAGTACTCAGAAAATACTTATTACCAACTAAAATGATTGTAGATGGAATTTTAAACCTAAAACTTTCTAAAATACTGTCTCCTATTGAAGAGCTTTAAGGATCGGTATGTGTTGTCCTGTAGCTTTTATTCACTTTGCACAAAGAATTCCATTTCCTATTATTGGGTTTGAAACTTGACCACTCAGCACTTAAATAATGAGGTAAGGTGAAGTCAAACTTGAACTCAAGATAATTGATTTTTAAGACAAAGAATGCAAGAATTAATAAGATATATCATTTTTAGATGCGTAGATGTACTTGTTCTCTGTCCCATACACCCTTCCTTCTCTCAGGAAATGTAATGTGAACCCAAGTGGCTCAGTAAATAAGAGCCCTTCAATAGACCATGCACACCCAGAGACAAAGCACTGGTGCGGGGTTTCACGGTGTTTGTGGTTACAGACAGGTTGCAGTCTGTCAGGTCACAAATCTCTATTCTAAATAACCCCGTAATTATAGATTTACCTCCCCCCGGGTCTGCTTTCAGGACGTACAAAGGCAAGAAACCTAAAAGGCCTAAAGTTACACTTCCGTTGCCAGAAGCCACTCTGTGGGAGGGCCCAGCCCATAACCACCCTGGTTCAGTTTAGTCCACAAATCCTACTTCTCCAAGCTGTATTGGTATGTTTGCTTTTGATTATATGTCCACACTGTTGAGCAGGTCAGTTTGCAGACATCGGATACCTGGTTAGAGAAAGGAATATGGAAACATGAATGCAAATCTGGTCGTTTTTAGCAAGAGGAAATACTTGTTTTTCATGGATAAGCATTGTTCATTATGAAATATTTGACTGTATAAAGCGTTAAAGCATCATTGAACACTAGATGAGATAAAGTCATGTTTTAATTACTGAGTCAGTTCCAATATTATGGAAGCTGAACTATAACTATAACCTAACCGCCTACATTTTACCAACCGCAACTCCCCTCTAACTTGTTCTCCTTCTATAACTTTTTAAATTTGCCCTTGGTAAAGTGTTTTTACAGGGGTACAAATATTTCTTGGAGGTAGGGATTTCATTTCCCTTGGATATAGACCCAGAAGTGGAATTACTGGATCATATGGTATTTCTGTTTTGAGTTTTTTGAGGAATCTCCATAATGGCTACACCAATTTGTATTTCCACCACAGGGTGCAAGGGTTTCCTTTTTTTTCCCCAAGTCCTCACCAACACTTGTTATCTCTTATCTTTTTGATATAATAACTTCAGAAAACACAATGAGGGGAGGAAAGAAGTCCAGAAAGATATGTAGCAGAATGTTGGCAGAGCTTTCTTCTGGGATAGGGGACCTAATGGTGATTTTTTTTCTACTCTTTTCCCCTTTTTCTTTCCAAATTATCTGGACTGAGCTCAAATGATTTTCAAAACCACAGGAAAAACAACAACAAAAAACCAAGAGTGGCTCCCTATCCTTAAAATAACAAACAAACCATGCCAAGAAAGAGAGGCTGAGGCACTTAGGGTGATTTGGAGGGGATGAAAGATGGGGTGGGGAGTGG